ATCCCGGGGTGACGCTGGGTGACACCGGGGTGACTTGGGGGCACCGGCGGGCGCGGGGGCTCCGCCAGCCCCCCACCACCGCACCGGCCGCCCCGTCCCTGCCGGAGGAAGGCACTTGCGAGCCCCTCTCGGCACCAAAGCAACAGAAGGTGTCGTGTAAAGCCTACACGGTTATTTTCGAGCCAGTGTGCAAATAAGCCTGTCAGCTGAAGCTCGGCGGAGCCAAGACTCCCAGATCCCCCCAAAGATCTGCATCTCAACGAGACACCATGTGGCTGAGCCCGCCGGYTCCCCGCCCGCCTTTGGGGCCGGGGGAGAGGGAAATCTCCGACCCCAGGACCCCCCAGTGCACCCCCGGCCACCCTCGGTGGTTTTGTCGCCGCGTCCTGGCTGGGATGAGGCCGATTTTTTGGTGCTTTGATGGGATTTGGGGGATTTATGCGCGTTTCTGTGTGTGTGTAGAGGAGAGATACACATACACACACCCACGGGAGATGGATGGGATATATTTATCCCATCATTATAGGGATCATATCAATATATACGTTTTATATAGAAAATCGCATGGAATCAGTGAGTAGCTCACGTTGGAAGGGACCATCAGGGGCATCGAGGCCAAATCCCTGCTCGGATTTGTGTGTTTATTTTTATAAATGTATTTATCTCGTGGTGAGAAAGCTCGAGGAAGAGTTGGGGCTGGGATCAGCCCCATCCGTGGCAGATGGGGAAAACCCTTTCCCGTCCCCAAAATCTCCTTTTTCCCGCCCCTCCTGCACGGCCTGACACTGAATTTTTGACCTCACAGATCACGAACTGCATCTCCCAAACTCCAGAGGAAAAAAAAAAATCCCCACCTTCCATTCCTGCCGGAGGTTTGAATCCCACATTTCCCTTCTTTGCTTAAAGGATTTTATACTTTCCCAAAAAATTTAAAAAATAAAATTAAAAAAAAAAAAAGGAAAACCACAATAATTAGCAAGAGGAAACTGCTCCGAAGGATCTGTGTACAGAAGGAAACACAGGAGCTTGGGCTCTTTTGCGTTTGGTAAATATTAAAATTAATGAGAGACTTTCGGGACCCTGTTGTTAGAAATGCAGAAGGGTTTATGCGAAGGATTAAAACACAAAACAACGCAAAAAAAAAAAACCCCAACCCCAAGCCCTGTACACAAATTCCCGCAATTATTCCCGACGCTTCCTATTTTTCAGCCAATTATGGAATTCATGGAAAGTATTAATATCCCGTTTTAATTTGCTTAATATGCCCATTAACAATAAAAAGTCTAATTAAGGTATCTGTACAAAGAGCCCTCAGCAGTAATTTCAGAGAATAATAGAAGAGAACGACGCGGTATTTCTTGTTAAATGCACGCTGCAAATTAATTGATAYCTTAATTAGGCTTTAGTACCCAGATTATCAGTTAGATTGATTCAGGGCTGCAACATCACGTTTTATTTTGGTTTTTTTTAAGATATAAAAGCAAGCAGGAGGGGAACAAACTGCTTTTCCAAAATATTTCTGGGASCAAATCCACGACGCACCGGGACAGGGGGAAGCGCTCATCCCATGGACACAAATCTRGGAAACGCCACAATTCATCCCAAACCCTGTTTTTCTCCCCTATTTTCTCACTGAAATAAATCCATTTATACCCTCAAACGATTCAAAACCAGAAAGGGAATTTAGATTATCACCAAATCCACTTTTTTTTTTTTTTTTTTCTTTTTAACCACAAAACCCAACCGGCAGCAGGAGCTGTTTGGAAGGACGCGCTGTCTCCGCAGAGAAAAACGGTGGTGGGGAGTTGGCAAAGTAGGATTTTTTTTTTTTTTTTCCCCTCCAGCATTTCCTTAGGAGAAGGAGGGGAAAAAAAACCCAAAAAAAAAACCCCAAGCAGCAATATTTTTGTACCAGGCTGGCTCTATATAGCCTGAGGAAGCTCTTCCCTACCTACACGCCCGGCACCATTTACATTTTTTCTGGCAAACGCTCGAACTCCGGGATTTCACCGTGTCCCGTGGGAATTGATTAAAATGGGATTTATGCGCGGATTTTTGGGAATGACCCCACGGATGGACACCAGAGGGGACTCACCATGATGTTGGTGACCAACCAGTGCCTCCAGAAGCGGTGCCGGGGGTTGGCTCTGTTGGGAGCGTCGGCGTCCACCATCACCAGGATGTATTTCTTGTTCTGCAAGAGAGGAGAGGAGGGATGTGAGCGCGGGGTGATGCCAAAAACACCCAAAATTCGCGTTTTTCCGCTCTTTCCCACTCAGGTGCGCTTTGAGGGTTGTGTCACCTAAATGTGAGAGAGGAACGGGTACCAGGAGAGGCCACAAACCCGCTCAGGGTGATTTAATCCCAAATCTTTCCAGAGGAGGAAAAATGTGGGTTCTGCCTCCTCCAAAAAAAATGGAATCGAGGAGAATTTCCTGTTCCCAGCCATTTCTAACCACGGAGGTTCAGAATGAGCCCCAACTGCAGCCCTGAGGTGTTTTTGGGATCCAGTGGTCGCTGAGGACGAGCTGGGTGCCCCAAACTCATGGGGGTGGCTGTGAGGAGCCCAACTCTATCCCAAACATCCCAAAATGACCGAAAAATGTTCCAAGGATGCTTCAAGGTGCAGCACCTGGGGGTCAGGTGCCACTCCTGGGTGGTGGGATTGGGCAAAACCAGCTGGGATTTATGGATAATACCGGTTCAACCCCCAGGAAACCCTCACTGAGGGCACCCAGCACCCAAAGGTGCCACCAGCACCGAGCCCACGCGGATATTTTGATCTGCCGAGGACGGAGCTGGGCTGGRAGTGACCTCTGGAGGAGGCAGGGGAGGGAAAACCTGCTGATCTGCAGGGATTTGGCGGGACCTCGAGCCCAGCTTATCCTGCGARCGCCCGGATTAAGGGATCTGTATCCCAATAAAAGCTGCAGGTGTTGGTGCCACGCTCCGCTCCGGCCGTGCCCGGGGGCTGGGCTGTCACCAGTTCGCTGGAATCTCGCAATTCCGGCTGAAATTGGTGGGGCTCGGCCCCTGCAGCCCCTGAAATCCCGCAATTCCCGCTGAAATTGGGGGAGCTCAGCCCCTGGAATCCCGCAATTCCCGCTGAAATTGGTGGGGCTCGGCCCGTGCAGCCCCTGGAATCCCGCAATTCCTGCTAAAATTGGGGGAGCTCAGCACCTGGGATCCTTCAATTCCCTCTGAAATTGTGGAGCTGTGCCCCTGCAGCCCCTGGAATCCGCAATTCCCGCTGAAATTGTGGAGTTGTGCCCCTGCAGCCCCTGGAATCCACAATTCCCGCTGAAATCGGTGGAACTGTGCCCCTGAAGCCCCTGGGATCCACAATTCCGGCTGAAATTGGGGGAGCTCAGCCCCTGGAATGCCGCAATTCCCGCTAAAATTGTGGAGCTGTGCCCCTGCAGCCCCTGGAATCCCGCAATTCCCGCTAAAATTGTGGAGCTGTGCCCCTGCAGCCCCTGGAATCTCGCAATTCTTGCTAAAATTGGGGGAGTTCTGCCCCTGAAGCCCCTGGGATCCCTCAATTCCCGCTGAAATTGGTGGAGCTGTGCCCCTGCAGCCCCTGGAATTCCGCAATTCCCTCTGAAATCGGCGGAGCTGTGCCCCTGAAGCCCCTTAAATCCTTCAATTCCCGCTGAAATTGGTGGAGCTCAGCCCCTGGGATCCCTCAATTCCCGCTGAAATTGTGGAACTCTGCCCCTGCAGCCCCTGGAATCCTTCAATTCCCTCTGAAATTGGCGGAGCTGTGCCCCTGAAGCCCCTGGAATCTCGGAATTCCTGCTAAAATTGGGGCAGCTCTGCCCCTGCAGCCCCTGAAATCCCTCAATTCCCGCTGAAATCGGTGGGGCTCGGCCCCTGCAGCCGCGGCCGCTTGGGAAACCGGGCGGGGATTTGCACAGCGAGGTCCTTTTGGGGTTGACTCAAAGAGTTTTTGCTCCGTTTCCCAACCTTTCATCGGGGTGAACGGGGTAAGCGAACCCCGCGGCCAGAGACGCCCTGTACCCCCTTCCCCTGGCACCCCAAAAACTCTCGAAGACCCCACCTCGGCGGGGAGCGCCGTTTTTAACCAGAAATCCCCGATTTCACCCCGCTTAACCAACAGCTCGCAACAGTTGCGGAGAAAATCCGCAAATCCCGCAAAACGCCCCGCCCGGGAGCGCGGCCGCGCCGTCGCCCCGCTCCAAAAATCCCAGCCTGGAATCGTCCCGGGTGCGGGAATCGCATCAACMCCGAGGGTGCGAGAGGGGGAAAGGGGACACGGTGGAGTCACCACGCGAGGCCGAAGGTCAGGACCTCGAGGCGGAGCCGCCACCTCCATCCCCACAGCTGCTGCATCCCGAAAAGGGG